CATATAAATATTTAAATCTACAATAAAAACCTTAATCATAGGTCAAAGAATATTATAAAAACTTTAACTGATTACTTTAATATAAAAATTTTGATATTTAAAGGATTGATACATATTTTTTAAACTTCAAAACTTTCAACAGAATCAAAATAAAAACTAAAACTTTTATATTCAAGAAAGACAAGGAAACCTACCTCTCGTCAGTAGGATATAACTCCTCGTTCCTCCCGTTGTCAGGCTCGACTAGGTGAGGAACGAAGGAGAGAAATCCCTCCCCTTAAATAGGAAGAGGTGAGCCTCCATTAAAGGAAATATATTTTTATTTTTATATTTATTTAATATAGATTATTTCTATTTAATATACTAACAAATATGATCTCATCCTATTTGGAATGCTTAATAGTTATTTCTTAATTTATATTAACAAATAAGGAAATATATTAAGATTTTCTAAATTATAATGACAAGTAAGGAAAACAAAATTTAAATCTCAATCTTAAATATTTGATTTGATTACATTTCTCCCCTCCTATAGGAAATTTGGTCCCCAAATTTAACTCACCTTAATAGAATAGATGAGGATACTGCTCTCGCATATCTTCTTCTCTTTCCCACGTTGCCTCTCGGTCCGAATGGTGTTGCCAACAAATCTTTACCAAAGGTATAATTTTGTTCCTTAGAACATGTTCTTTCCTTTCCAAGATCTGGGTTGGTTGTTCTCCAAAAGTAACATCATCTCTTAGTTGTAGAGGTTGATAAGATATGACATGTGATGGATCCCTGATATATCTTCGAAGCATAGACACATGAAATACATCATGGATGCCAGCCAAAGCCGGGGCCAATACCAATCTATATGCTACAGGCCCAACCTTTTGTAAAATCTCAAATGGGCCAATAAATCTTGGGGCTAACTTTCCCCTTTGACCAAACCTCATAACTTCCTTGGTTGGCGACACCTTTAAGAAGACGTGCTCACCAACTTCGAACTCTAGATCTCTTCGCCTTCGATCTGCATAACTTTTTTGATGACTTTGAGTTGTTAATAATCTTTGGCGTATAATTCAAATATTATCAGCATCTTTTTGAATTAATTGAGGCCCCAATAGCTTCCGTTCTCCCACCTCATCCCAATATACAGGTGATCTGCACTTTCTTCCATAAAGAGCTTCAAATGGAGTCATCTGTATACTAGAGTGGTAACTATTATTATAAGAAAACTCAATTAGATGCAAGTGCATATCCCAACTCCCACCAAAGTCTAAAGCACATACTCTTAAGAGATCTTCAAGAGTTTGTATTGTCCTTTCAGATTGACCATCAGTTTGGGGGTGAAAGGCTGTACTAAACTTTAACTGCGTGCCCAAAGATTTTTGTAGACTTCCCCAAAATTTAGAGATGAATCTTGGATCTCTATTTGAGATAATGCTAACTAGCACCCCATGATATCGAATAATTTCCTTAATATATAAGCTTGCTAGTTTATCCAATGAATACTTCTTGTTAATAGGGAGGAAGTGAGCAGATTTAGTAAGTCTGTCTACTATTACTCAAATTCCGTCATATCCTTTCACAGTCTTGGGTAATCCTGTCACAAAATCCATAGTGACTTGCTCCCACTTCTATTCAGGAATCGAAATCCTTTGCAACTTTCCCGCAGGTACTCGATGTTCTATCTTCACCTGTTGACATATCAGACATTTAGAAACAAACTTTGCTATATCTCTCTTCATACCACGCCACCAATAGTTTTGACGTAAATCTCGATACATCTTAGTAGTCCCGGGATGGATGTTAAATTTTGATCTATGTGCCTCCTCCAATAATTGCATCTTTACTGGATGGCTTTCGGGAATACAAAGTTGATCATGGAATGTAATAGAACCATCTTCGGCTTGGAGGAATTCAGGTCTAGATCCTTGAGCTATTTCCTTAACTATCATTTGAAGATATGTATCTTCCTTCTGACCTTCTTTAACCTTTTCCACCAAATATGATTGTGTCATCAAACACACAAGAAAACATTTATTTGTCTCTGATAAAAGTTTAAGTTTTAAGTCTGCTAACTCCGTCATCATAGAATTCCTTTGAATATTCATATAGGCTACAAGACTATAGGTATTTCTGCTTAAGGCATCAGCAACTACATTAGCTTTCCCAGGATGGTAGTTGATATTAAAATCATAATTGTAACATCCCTGATTAGTCCCACATCGAAAGTGGGCAAGATTAAGATTGGCTTATAAGGGTGTGATAAGTGTACTACTATCAACTTCAGCTTAAGCATTTTAGTCAATGGTTTAGACCAAACAAAGTTGATAGGCTAGTTTGCCCTTCAGGCTCGGGTCATGACATTTGGTATCAGAGCCGACCTAATATTTGGGCATGGTGAGGGGGCTCGAGTAGGAAAGGGTTACCCGTAGACGGAGTCAGAGGACTCGTCACGGCGTGGAGCCACCATTGGGCTACGCCTCACGTGCACTATGCTAGGGTTTGATCTGGGTTATGTTGGGTCTTGACGAGGACGTCAAGCCTTTGAGTGGGGGTGATTGTAACATCCCTGATTAGTCCCACATCGAAAGTGGGCAAGATTAAGATTGGCTTATAAAGATCTGATGAATGTACTACTATCAACTTCAGCATAAGCATTTTGGTCAGTGGTTTAGACCAAACGAAGTTGATAGGCTAGTTTGCCCATCAGGCTCGGGTCATGACATTCCAGATAGATCAATTGAGGCCCCTATCATTCTCTCAACAAAATAAAAAATGGGGCTCCGAAGAAAAGATCAACTCCGTTGATCATGACCTACAATATCTAATTAACCTAATTATCACTTTAAAAAATAAAAAATAAATTTGAAGACCTTTTACATAACAAAATGGATTCCGAAATTACACTACTTTTACATGCTAGACTTACGATAGATGACCTTCCGTTTAGGAAAATCTCATAAGTCTAAATAATCCCATCTATAAACACCTCTAAAACTAACAAAATATGAATCCTAATAGCTAAACACCTTTCCTAAGCCATACTAACATATAATGAAACTCTAAACACATATAATACTAGAACAGGACTCTGAACACAATATCTGAACCACAATAACTAATGATAGACACTTGAAAAGCAAATTATAAAAAATAAAACAAAACGTAACAGGACCTAGATACAACTTAACCAAACCTAAAAGGACTCTATTTGACTCACCGAACACCCAACTGCAACTTGCCCTGTATCATAGCTAATCTGAAATGGCAAATTAAGATGATATAGTATGTCATTTTCATCTACTCAGAGCCCATCTTAAAGTAGGACATGTCACCTATGCAAGCCCAAAAGGAATGGCTTGGAGAACATGTAAATACAAAACTTAGGCAGCCAGTCATAACTTTTGTTCCAAAATCACAACAATTCATTTTTAAATGGACTTATACACATTGAACTATCTACCATTGTGATCAAATAAAAATAGTATGTGCATTTTTATTATAATTTTACGATAGTCATTGGCTTTTGAGTCATAATAAATTTATCTCTAAGTCTTCATTGCTCGCATAAGCCTAACTGGTATAATCAACTGAGCGTAACAATATTCTCAATTCAAGGGTTAGGACCGTTCAAATTCATTTGGTTCTAGTACCCATATAGCATTTCCATCAAATCAACAGAGGTCTACACATATAAAAGTAGTTCTTCCACAAGAACCAGAGGTGTCTAATTTCCTCTTTAAATTCCAAGTCTAAACTACTACCAGGTCCTAATGTAGCAAAGTGTAATTCTAGGCTAATCAACAAACATATACCTAATATTTTATGAGGCCAAATTAGTCTAACATTGAGAGTGGTAAGGTGATAAGGTCAAATGGGCTCATTGCTACTAAAACAGACTTCCACATGATTTAATACTCGTTATATCCTAATTGCTAAGTCAATGGGCCTTTTAAGATTACTTGTAACAATTAGTAGCAAAATATAAGTAACACAGATGTGGGGGTGAGTGAAACTGTATAAGAAACGATTACCTATGGACGATGAAGATGCACACTATGGCATGAAGCCACCACTGTGCCATGACCCAGCCCTTTGAATGAAAGAAATTGTAACATCCTGTTAAATTCCACATCGGCAGCAGGCAGCAGGAAGGTATTTATGAAGACGTACAAGACCTCATCGGCTTATTACTTATAACATGATTTAAGCAATCAGAATCATGTGGTTCAAGAATACTTACATCCTAGTTACTGATCCTGTGGGTCTATTGGCCAGGTCATAACATTATGCCATTACTATGACTATATGGCGAGCCTCTGTACAGACAAGTAGATATTAGTCAAACCTGCAAGACAACAAATAAATTACAAAGCCTAAGAAGCACAGAAACGGACACGGACACAACTTGACATGAACATGGCAACACACCAATTTTAAAAAAAATAGGACAAAAATTAGGACACGGACATGACAAGGATGTGTATTTTATAGAGTACCGAAGAGACTCCGATGACAATTGATATATGTTTCCTCATGACAATCTTTAGATTTCTTTCCTTGCATTGTTGGCAATCCGTCTCCACATAGAATCCAAAGCAGATGGCCCTCATGTGAGGGCCGCAAGCACAGCACCGCATACGAGGGCCACGTGCTGAAACACACAAGAGCGACATGGGAGCGGTGTCGTGTCCCATAAATAAGATTGAAAATAAATGAAAAAAGACGGGTGGCCATGTGTGTCAACGATGTATCATGTCTGACGTGTCGGATTGGATATGTCCACCAAAAGCATGTGTCTGTGCTTCAGAGGTACTAGCAGCCAAACAGCCGACAAATCAAAAGCCTAATTCCAACCACAAAACAACAAAAGATCAGAAAAATTATCAAACACAAAGGTGACAGATGCAGTTACACATATGAAGCTACAGCAACTTATCAACTGGAATTAATCTCAACAAATGAAAAAAACAATGATAGGTAAAATAAAGCATGTTTGAAATTATGCAGACAAAGAACACAAGTAACTTCAGATTATAAGTCAGATGTCAGCATACGAATAGGGAGTGCAAATCACCCTTCCAATACATATAAAGTCTCACTGATGATTTAGATCTCAAGAGTCAAGAAAAGAAAAGCAAAGTGCCTAAGCTAAGAAACAACTACATACACTACCTGCACTCCCAAAATTTTATGCCAGTAAGCAGAATCTTCAGTTAGGGATAAAAATTAATGAGCCAAAAAAATTTTAAGGCTCATTTTTATTGAGAATTTAGATAAATAAGCAAATACCAAATGGAGCAAGGAGAATCTCAAACTTCAACCAATTGTTCGATCTCCTGATTCCTCGGTGGTACAGGATAGTCCCGAGTGAAGCATGCATCGCAGAACATGTGGGCTTCATCAGCAAAAACTCCCCTGAGACTCTCAAGTGAAAGAAAGGCAAGTGATTCACAGCCAATTTCCTGCCTCACCCCCTCGACATCCATCCTATTGGAAATGAGTTCCTCAGAGCTTGGGGTGTCAACACCATAGTAGCAGGAGCCGACAATTGGTGGACTAGCAATCCTCATATGGACTTCCCGTGCTCCTCCAGCGGTCTTGATGAGCTGCACTATCTTGGATGACGTTGTACCTCGTACAATTGAATCATCAACAACAACAACACTCTTGCCCTCGAGGATGCCACGGACAGGTGCAAGTTTGAGCTTGACAGCAAGATTGCGCCCTTCCTTATCTGGCTCAATGAAGGTGCGACCTACATAGTGGGACCTGATAAGACCCTGCCGGAAAGGGAGTCCAGAGGCCTCGGCAAAACCAAGCGCAGCAAAAAATCCCGAGTCTGGCACAGGGATGACGATATCGGCACTAGGGGCGGGGGACTCACGAGCCAGAGCAGCACCAAAAGAATAGCGGGACGAGTGGACAGGGTGACCAAAGACTACGGAGTTGGGGAGAGCAAAGTAAACATGTTCAAAGACGCAAGCTTTACGAGACTTACTGGGCATCAGGCAAAGAGAGGTGATGCTCATGTCGCGACTATCTACTACAACGACCTCCCCAGGGTTCACCTCACGCACAAACGCCGCATTGATGAGGTCAAGGGCGCAGGTTTCGGAGGCGAAAACAATAGCACCGGTGGGGCGGCGTCGACCCATGACAAGGGGCCGGAAGCCGTGGGGGTCGCGGACGGCGAAGAGCTTGTTGGCGGTGAGGAAGACGAGGGAGTAAGCTCCCTCGAGGGCCTCGCAGGCCTCAACTATGCGGGCCAGGAGGGGGCGGGAGGAGGAGGTGGCTATAAGGTGGAGGATCACCTCGGTATCGGAGGAGCTGTTAAAGATGGAACCTTTTGACTCGAGGGCAGAGCGCAGGTTGCGGTAGTTGACGAGGTTGCCGTTGTGGGCCACGGCAAGCTTGCCGAATCGGTAGCCAGCGACGAAAGGCTGGACGTTGGCTAGAGAGGAGGCCGCGCCAGCAGTGGAGTAACGGACGTGGCCGATGGAGGCCTCGCCCACCAGGGGGGCGAGCGTTCCAGGGTCGGAAAAGACCTCAGAGACGAGGCCGAGGCCGGTAGCTGAGTGAAGGGAAGAACCGTCGGAGGAAACGATGCCGGCGCCCTCCTGGCCTCGATGCTGGAGGGCGTGGAGGGCCAGGGAGCAAAGCTGGGCGGCGTCCGGGTCGCCAATGATACCGACGACGCCGCACTCATCGCGGGGCTTGTCCTCGTCGGCGGAAAGGAAGGCATGAGAGGGGTCCACCAAGGCAGCGTGGGGGGTCAGGGGGAGCATGCAACGGTGGGATGAGGCGGCGATGGGGTAATTGTCGCAAAGAAAAGGGTAGGGTTTAGGGAGGGCCTTTGAGAGAAATAAGCGCGAGGGTTCGGGGGGGTGAACTGAAAAGGAAGGGAAGATGGAGTGGTGGCCGTCATGGCGGCACGCGAGGGAGGCAGCGGCGGAGGCGGCGGCTGTGGCGGCCATGACACCGAGGGGAACGAGCGAGGAAAAGGCACAGAGTGCGGGGGGGGTTTTGAAGTGCCGAAGACGAAGATATGGTCAAAGTATAGTCCTTAATAAATGGCAAGAGGGTTATACTGGACCGAAACGAACCGGATGTGATCGAACCGGTTTCAATTTTCCGGGCTGATCATTGTCAGCATCTCTCCTTGGCAAAAAAAAAAAAAGAAATACACACAATCACTTGTTCATACAAATAATTGATATTATATCTTTATATAAAATAAACTATTTAATACTAATCCATCATAGCTAGAAGGATTAATTTGAGTTATATACTATATTCAAATTGTATATATGCACCATTAGCTTGTCAATCGAATCCATCCATTTTAGTGCAGTGTCAGTGGTAGGTTGTAGAGAGTGGAAGTGGATTACAACGCAGCAGTCCACCGACTTTAAGATTTGTGCAGCGAGTTGACTGGCTTTTCGCAGCCATTGTTGATTTTTCTCGTTACTGAGTTCCATATAAAACGATATACTTACTTTAATCAACAACATATAATATATATATATATATATATATAATCCTTCTCAGTGCTAAAAGACTTTGACTCGTCTTGCAACCGTGCCATAATGCAGATGATAAGGAGAGTGAGAGGAGGATTTTCCACAGCAGCCTTACTTATTCCATGTACTTAGCAGTCCATAACGAAGTTGGCAATTGGACTCGTTGCAATAGCAAGCAGACAATTCCAGAGAGTCCCGTAAACGTGGCGTGCCACTGTTGGTGCACCCGGTGGGCCCCCGCTGCGAAGGAAAAGGCGTTTGGTGCCGAGTATTGTGTGGAGAATCAAAAGATTTCGAAAGCTAATTAGAATTTATTTTATTTTATTTATTTATTTATAATCAAAATAGATGAATAATTGAAATTAAAATATAATATTGATTATTGAACACATATTTCATATATATATATATATATATATATATATATATTATAGAGAGAGAGAGAGTGAATCTACGGAATGCTCCAATGCAAATGCGAAGAATACCTTATCGTTAATAAGATCCAAACACTGATACAGTGACCAAATTTTGCTGCCACTTCTGAATAATTTGTGTCCTTTCTCCACCTCATGATATAAATTTTCTTTTGGGAGGTAAACCTTATAAGACGAACAATTACATGTATCCCTTCAATGGTTTTTTTGATTTATTTATTCAAATTTATATTTTTATATATATACTCGTAAAATTCCTTTTATGCTGTCTATTGTGCACGCAAGACATTCAAACTTTATTTGATATCAATGACAAATAATTTAACACTTAATTTTTTTTAATATATTTTTTGGATAATTTATCTTGAAAAAAATAGTCATAATCAGTTTTTATTTGGAATGTCTCTTTTTTTAAAATTTACTATTCACGCACTTAAAGCAAAAGTCATCGATATCATATTGCCTTAATATGATCGAGAGCTCCGTCGTCTCATTATTTTCATCATTAATTATAACAATATAATCGAAAGAGATAGAGAAGAATTAGTTTCGGAAGAAGATCTTAATTGAACCAAATTGGAGTAGACAAGTTTGCATCATCTCAAGCTCCCCTAACACTTTCAGTTGACACCTCCCTCGTACTGAATCGATATCATTTTTAAAAAACTCTATTTGATATCAATAATAAATATTTAAATATTTAATATTTTTTTGATTATTTATTCAAAAAATACTATAATTAGTTTTTACATGGAATACCTCTCTTTTCAAAATTTACTTTGAGGTATACGATCTTTTTTTTGAGCTTTTGAATAATATTTATTTAATCAGTTTAGTTCAATTGTTTATTAAGTCTGTTTAATTCAATTAGAATTAGATAAAAAAAATTATTTAATATTTATTTATTATTAAGAGTCCAAATAATTATGATCTTTAGGTGAAACTCTATAAATATTGATGTAATCTTTTCTTTCAATCAATCAATCAGTGGAATATTATTCCAATCTGTGACGAAACCCTAGGAGCTTGATCAAGAAGGCTAATCCCCTCGAAGCGATCATTTTTTTTTTTTTTTTTTACGATAAAATCTAACCTTAGGATCCTATCATTTGGTATCAGAGCGACGAGACGATCCTTGACGTTCTTGTTTCATCCGACAATCACGAACGCCGATCAACCGAGAACGAACCTCAACCGCCGCCACTATTGCCCAGCCACTAAGTAGCTATCATCATAAAAAAAAAAAAAAAAAAAAAAAAAAATGGTGAGAGAGAAGAAGAAGAAGAAGCGGCGGCCACCCCTGCTTCCGGCCAGCCCACTCGCCGCCGCTGCTCTTCGGTCAGCGGTCACTGCCGCCGCTACTTCCTGGCCGACGGACCACCACTGCCGACGTTGCTGCTCAGCCAGAAGGCACCACCACTGCCTCCTTCTCCACCGCCGCCCGCCTCCCCTTGCGTCGCAGTCGCAGCCGCAGCCGCTCGACCTCCCCTCCTCAGCGATAGTTGGAGACGCTGCTCCCAGCCGCGCCACCACCGCTGCCTCCTTCTTCACCGCCGCCCACCGGTCTCCCCTGCCGCTGCGAGCGCCGGTTGCCTCCCTCCTCGTGGTGACCCTTGGTGATGCAGCTCCCAGCAGCGCCACCACCGCTGCCAGCTGCCGCAATCCTCTCCTCGTCGATCCTAGCCCTCGGTGAGGCTTCGGCGTCGCCAGCGGCTCCTTCTGCGATGCGACAGAAACAGAGCCCTCTGCTGCCGCAGACCCCGACCCGCCGCCCCCCCCCCCCCCGGTCGATCCTTGTCGCCGCCGTTGCTCCCCGGCCACCAACCTCCTCCTCTCCAGCATCGCCGCCCCTGCTTCCTGGTAGCCCGCACCCCTGCTGCAGCCCGCCGCACCTCTGCATCATTGTCGCAGCCTCAACCCCCTTGCTCTGCACCATTGCCGCGGCCCCCTTGCCACCGTCGCCGCTACTTCTCGGCCGGCGACGTCTGCCACTGATTCCTCTTCTTCACCGCAGCCTCAACCCCGGCCACTTCAACACCTCAACCCCTTGCTCTGCATCATTGCCGCAGCCTCAACCCCTTGCTCTGCACCATTGCTGCAGCCCCCTTGCTCTGCATCGTTGCCGCAGCCGCCGGTTGCCACCACTGCAGCCTCAACCCCGGCCGCTTCAACGCCACCTCCCTCTTTTCTGCTC